AAAAATAAAACACATTTATTCATTAATTTAAAATTTATATAATATTTCTAATATTAAAATTTTTTTTAATCGTATTAAATAAAATCGTATTAAAAATATAGTTCCTTTATGATTATTAGATTTACATGGTTGGCTATACTTATAACAGAACAGTTCATATAAATATTTACCGGCATTATTATATATATATATATATATAATAATATATATTTGTATTATATCATGATTTCTGAATCGAAGGAAGAACGTTATTTTTATTTTAATAGTTTAGCTATTTTATTAAAAGCTGTTGAAAATGTACGTACAACCATAGATCTTCGAAACGAAGCATCAATTTATGGTATAGTAGAACATGCAGATGCGTAAGTAATTTTTGTTTATATGTTATTATTATTAATCTAATCTTGCATAAATATTTTGTTTTTTTAGCTACATGAATATTGTAATGAAAGATTGCACTTTCATAGATCCTAGAGGTGATTCGTACAATTACGATATGTTCTTCGTACAAGCAAGAAATATCCGATTCGTTCATATTCCACCAAAAGTAAGTAGTTTTAAAATATGTGTCCTATTATATTTTAAAATTTTAATATAATTAATGTAAATATTTTTTTATTTTGGTAATAATATTGTATATTGGTAATAATTGTATATTAGTTCATTTTACTTTAATCGTAAATGCATATATATCATTTAAAATATATTAATATCTAATTTTCACATTAAATTTATTATTATTATATATAAGTTTTACATAAAATTTATTACGGAATAAAAGATCAGGAAAGATAATTTTTATTTTTTATTATACATATACATATTATTAATATATTGTCTAGGTATTTTTGTATTTATAAGTTGTGTTTATACAATAGATAATATTTAAAGTACAAATACAAGACAATTTTCTTTTTTTAAATATTGTTTATTGTAATATGTATTAAATATTTAATAATGTTTATTAAATTATACAAAAATATATATACATAAATAGATACAGAAATGATAAAAAGTTGTCATTTACATTATAAATCATTAATTACATCATTTTTACAAGTGCAAAATATTTTGTGGTATAAAACTAGTGACAAATTAAAATTGTTTAAATATTTACATTTAAAACAATATAATACAAGAGCATCGATTACTCCATCAACACAAGTCAGCATGAGTGCATTTAAATTCCTTGATTATGATTGTATTGGATTTGATTTTGATCATACACTTTTACGTTACAATATAACAAACATAGTGTATTTAATATATGAAACATTAGCTAATTATTTAATATCAGAAAAAGGATATGATTCTAAATATTTATTAAAGCCATTACAAGATAAAGACTTAGACTTTATGCAGAAAGGATTATTCTTAGATTTTGAGAAGGGAAATATACTTAGAATTAATGCTGATGGCATAATTCAAAGAGCATGTCATGGAACTAATTTATTAAGTATTGAAAAGATTAAAGAAATATATCCCGGACAGAGATGGGAAATCACAGATGCTTTTTGCAATGATATGTTATCCACATGGAGTGGTCCTCCATCAATGAAAATGAGAAGTTTATTAGACTATTTTGATATTTCCTCATCTCTTATTTTTGCAAGATTAATAGATACACTCGATGAAGAACAAGAAGAACCATTAAATGCATATAATGTTTGGCCTGACATGTTAGATGGATTGATTGAAATATATAAAAAAGAAAATTTTAAATTAGACAAAGGATATTTTTATCCTAGTCTAAAAGAAAATCCTCATAAATATATGTATAAATGTACTGCAAAAACTATAAATTGGCTTCAAGAATTAAAAAGACATCGTATTACTTTCCTTATTACTACATCATATATCGATATTGTTGACTTTACTGCTACTTATGCTTTAGGAAAAGATTGGAAATCACTATTTGATATTATTATTTGTTATTCAAGAAAACCTCGTTTTTTTACTGAAAAACATCCATTTTTTGAGATTATAAATTATGAAGAAGGTAATATTATAAAAAGCAAAGATTTAAAACAAGGTGGTATATATAGCCAAGGTAATTGGAAAGAACTTATTGAGTTTTTTAAACGTATATCTGGAAAACAAAATCCTCAATGTATATATGTTGGTGATAATCTTTTACAAGATATTTATGTACCAAATTCATGTGTACAATGTGATACAGTAGCTGTAATTGAAGAACAAATGTCTGAAGGAATGATTCATCAAAAATTATCACATCCAGATGAAAAAATATTAAATTCAATATTTTGGGGTTCTTATTTTTGTTTAAAAGATGCAAAGATTAATATGGATTCATTATGGGGACATGTTATTAAAAAATATTCAAAACTTTGTATACCTGAAGTAGATTTAATAGCTCAACAACCATTAGAAGAATCTTGGCTGTGTTTTAGTAAAGATGGAAAGAAATATGATGGATATTATCCTGCAGTACCACTCAGTATATCATCATTTTAAATTAAATTTGTCACTGGTATAAAAATATAAAGATATATTTTTCATTAATTTGCTAAATAACATTTCTATAATTAACTTATTATATTAACACAATTATTATAACATTCTAATACCATATAAGATATTTTTAATTCAAGATACGTATTATACCAGCTATCAAGGAACAATTGCAATATTTATTAAGAAATAAAAAGGACTTAATACACACTAAACGTACATTTAAAACAAAACGTGCTGAACAAAGACAACGAGAAGGACTAGCAGCAATGGAGAAAATTTTAGAAGATAGAAAAAAGGCAAAGCAAAAACGAAATTAATTAAACATTAACTAATACAAATTGATTTTAATATATTTATTTACAATTTATTTTTGTGTACAAAAATAACTTCTATATAAACATGCATTGCACAAAATACTGTATGAATTTATTATAAAATTTGTTATTTTGTACAAATTGCAAGTACAATTGTTAAAAGCTAATATGTAAACAAATATAAATAAAATAAATTTATATAACTATGTTAGCTTTACTAATATTATAAAACAAATGCTATTATAAATTGTATATTTTCAATATATAATTTTTTATATTTTTTATAATAGCATTAATCAATATTTATTACAATAATAATAAAATATTCAATAATTCAAGAATAACAAAAATTAAAAATTATATGTGATATGCCCATATATAAATATTCTTATAAAATAACAATACCAACAAAATTTTACATTTGCAGAATAAATAACATTTAATTAGCTGAAGTGGTTGTTATTTTCTTTGAACAGCAATAGCTATTCCCATTCCTCCACCAATACATAAAGCTGCAATACCTTTGTTTCCATTAATTCTTTCTAATGAATGTAATAAAGTTACTAATATCCTAGCACCTGTAATAAAATAATTAAATGTAATACAAATATTATAGATATATAATATTTTTTAATAATTTAACTATTATACCAGATGCACCAATAGGATGGCCTAAAGCAATAGCTCCTCCATTTATATTAACTTTGTCTGGATTTAGACCAAGAGATTTTATACATGCTATTGATTGTGATGCAAAAGCTTCATTTAATTCATATAAATCTACTTCTTCTTTTGTCCATTTTGCTTTTTGTAACTAAAATATTGATATATCTTATTACCTAAATTTATGAAGTATATTTAAACTTTTATATACTAACCACTAATTCAACTGCTGGTATGGGACCTATACCCATAATTTTTGGTTCCACACCAACTTGAGCTACTGCAACAATTTTAGCTAGTGGAGAAAGTTCTTTTTGTTTAGCAATGTCTGCTGACATAAGAACTACTGCTGCTGCTCCATCATTGATACCAGAAGCATTACCAGCTGTAACTGTACCTTCAGCCTAACAATATATCATAACTATAATATATATATAAATATTTTAATTTAAAAAAAAAATACAACTAATCATACTTTCAGAAAAGCTGGTTTTAATTTTTGAAGATCTTCAATAGTTGTTCCAAATTTAGGATATTCATCTTTATCCATAATAACAGATCGTTTTTCAATAGATAATGTTACAGGAATAATTTCTTTTTTAAAATAACCTTCAATAATTGCAGTTTCTGCTTTATTCTGAGATTTAACTGCATATTCATCTTGTTCATTTCTGCTTATATTAAAATCTTTAGAAACATTTTCAGCTATATTTATAAAAAGATTATATATAGTAAAAGAATTTTTTCCAAAAATACAATACAAATATACAATTACAAAATAGAGTTATAGATAGAATTATAACTCTTATACCTGTTATTCCCATATGAATTCCATGAAATGCATCTGTTAAACCATCAAATATTAAAGTGTCTATTAGACGACAATCTCCTATTTTTACACCATTTCTAAATTGTATTGCATGTGCAGATTGACTCATACTTTCTTGACCACCAGCTATAACTATTTGATTTTCACCAACTTTTATGGATATATATCCTTGGATTATTGCTCTAAAAATATATATCTTTTATCAAATATATTCAGATTAATAATAAATATAAACATATAAATTCTGAATATTATTAAATTTGATTAATAAAATTATTATTATTATTATGTAATTTAATAAAAGTTGAGATTAAAGTTTATATTTACTTTAACCCTGAACCACATAACATATTAATTAAATAAGCAGGTGTAGTTATAGGAATTCCAGCTTTTATTGCTGCTTGTCTTGCTGGATTTTGTCCTTGAGCAGCATTTAATACCTACAATGGAAATTATTCTTTATATTTTAAGATATATATTATAAGATGTAGAAATGTACAATAAAATAAAATAAAAAGTCTTAAAATTCAAATGTAATTTATATATAAATTTATAAACATTAAATATATATATATAGATCTTTACAATTATAAATATATCTCTAAATTTTTTATTTTTTTATGCTTGTATTAATAATTATCTATATATAAATATAATTATATCGATATAATTATATTTTATTTATAATTATATCGATAATTAAAGTATTAAATATTATATAATATATATATATATTTTTTGCATATTTCATTATACATATTTTTTATTAGAGATTATTAGAAAGACGAATAATATTAAATTTAAAATTTAAAAAAAAATATATAATTTATATTTGTTTATTGAGTATATTACCTGTCCAAATATAACTTCAGAAACATCCTC